GTTCTTAGAGTCATAGTCAGCATTTTTCTTCCCCCAAACACGGCGAGTCGAATAAATGCCAAAGAGCTCAATTTTGGTCTCATCTGATCACTGCACTTTCTCCCAATTCTTTCCCAAATAATAAATTTAGAAGTTCATAGGCAAACTTCAGAAGGGCCTGCACATGTGCCTTCTTGAGGAAGGGGATCTTGCGGGAGATGCAGGATTTTAGTCCATGGTGGCGTATTGTGTTACCAATGGTTTGTTTGGTGATTGTGGTCCCAACTACCTTGAGATCATTCCCAAACTCCTCCCATGTAGTTCTGGGCTGATCACTCACTTTTCTCATAATCATCCTTACTCCATGAGGCGAAGTCTTGCATTGAGCTCCAGACCGACGGCGATTGATGGTTATTTTGTGTTTCTTCCATTTGCGAATAATCGCTCTAACAGTTGTCTCCTTCTCACAAAGCTTCTTGCTGATGGTCTTGTAGCCCATTCCAGCCTTGTGCAAGTCTACAATTTTGTCCTTAACGTCCTTTGATAGCTCTTTGGTCTTGCCTATGATGGAATGCACATTTGAATGGAAGAAAAAGATTCTGTGGACAGGTGTCTTTTATACACATAACGAGTTGTTGTTAGGAGCACCTTATTAAATTGACAGGACTAATCTGTGTATCACATGAGCACATACCCAGTCTGTGGGAGCCAGAATTTTTGTTGGTTGGTAGGAGATCAAATACTTATTTTACCCACTGAACTGCAACTCAATATTATAACATTTGTATCGGTTTTTTTTCTGGATTTTTGGTTTATATTCTGTTTCTTTCATTTAAAATATAGCTCTGATAAAAATGATAGACCCTTCATTTCTTTGTAAGTGGGCAAACTTACAAAATATGCAGGGGATCAAATAATTATTTTCCCCACTATATGAGCTGAAAAATATTCCCTCCTTTGTGAGCAAGAGGATGACCTCATTAAGACATATACTGTATATTACAGACCTAAATATAAATTACTGTCACACAAAAACATCAGTTGTAAAGTTCTTTCCTGTGTTTAAAATGCCATGTCAAAGAGCTATTACACTAAGCTATAGAGCTGATCAGGAGACTATTACATACTGTGAGGTTTATGCACCATAGACAAGGTCTATTCACACTCCTATAGTTTCTATAATTCTCCTAATGCTCTTTGTTAATTTATATAGCGTTGACATACAGTGTACGTTACAGAATACATTCCAGAATTCATAGAACCATTTATATCAATCTTTACTTGGGCAAAAAAGTTTGCATTGTAGTAATCTCACCCACAAACCCACAAAGTGGGGCAAGTTTAGATGTTTTTGAGGTGTGTTAAGAAAATTGGGTACAATTGTGTGTCTGTAGGTTTCACAAGATTGAGCTGGCAACGCTCAATACCCTGTTACAGAAATTGGAGATTTTATCCTACTACAAAGTACTGTGGGTCAGAGGCATCCCTAGGGTTGGTGTCACCCGGTGCGGTAACACTTGGTGACACCCCCTCCGACGATCCACGCAGAATGGATCGGATCTGCAGAATGAGCATAATGGATCGGACTCCGATCCATTATGCTCAGTCCGCAGATCCGATCCATCCTGCGGGGATCGTCGGTTTGCTTTACAACTTACCTTTTCTAGGAGCGGGTCTGGTGTCACCCCGTATAGGTTGCAGGATGCCCGCAGGAGCATCGGCATGCAACATATAAGGGGTGACACCGGACCCGCTCCAAGAAAAGGTAAGTTGTAAAGAAAGCCGACGATCATCGCAGGATGGATCGGATCTATCCTGCGGGGGTCGTCGGCTTGCTTTACAACTTACCTTTTCTTGGAGTGGGTCTGATGTCACCCCGTGCGGTCAATGTCATCCGGTGGGAACCGCATCCCCCGCACCTGCCTCGGGACGCCACTGCTGTAGGTGTCTACCTTCAAGACCTTCAGAATGAATTCTATCAAGTTTTTATATGCCATAAAGTATATGTAAATGCTCACCTTGCAAAACAACACATTCATTTTAAAATAGAAATGAAAGGCAAAACATTTGTGTATAGATATAAAAAAAACATTATGAATACCTTTTTTTCCTTCTTTAAAAGTGCTCACATGCCCATCTGTTCTCAACTGTATAAGGATTTCAGGGAGGAGAAACAGCAGCACAATGATCTTCCAAGTGAATAGATGTTTGGGAAGGGGGGGGGGGGGGGGCTGTCAGCACAAGCCTGATCATTGTGTCCCAGCACAGCCAGATAACTGACCACTCTGTGCATGCCTAGTTTAGTCAGTTTTAATAGATAAGCAGAGGGACTGACAGGAACACCAGGGATTTCATGCAAACGAAACACTAAGAGGACAGTATACTTTTTCACACAAGTACATGGTACAGCAGACACATACAAGGAATATGAAATGTACAGTGTACATATTCTTCAAAAATGAAGTCTCACAAGATTTTTCTTTGTTAACCCTGTCCTCCAGGGAAGAAAGTGCTTGCAGCATTTGTCATGATTTTCCAGGTGGTGTTGAAGTTGAGCTAGCATGGACAATAGTGCGCCACCTCTCCTTCCACCAAAGTCTGACCACGCAGATCAATGTACTCTTTGATAGTGTTGGTCTTTAGCACGAACGCCATCATTCTGCATGGGCAGGGGTCAGTAGAGAATATAAGAATGGTGAATGGTAAACATTCCCCTGCACTTACAATGAGTTGTCAACACTGGAAGGTGCTATTGACAGCGCTGCCATTGTTGGCTGCTCATTGAAATTGCAGGGGAATGTTTAGCATCAGCCAAAAAATAGACCACACAGCCCCACCAGTGCTCACTGATACTTTACAATTGTGAGTCCAGTCTATTTCTAAGCTGGTAATAAACATTCCCCCACACTTACAGCAGTAGCAAATCAGTCAGTGCTAGTGGGGCTGCCAATTGACTGACCTGTCATTGGAATGTACACAATACAATGCAAGCAACAGGGGACACTTGGCATACATATCCATACTTGAACTTAAAAGCCAGGGGAGTGTGTGCAAAGCAAAGTGAGAGTGGGCAGTGGCTTTAGTGCTATGCTATGCTATACTATGCACTATGCTGTAGCCTGTGCTGCACCTACAGCCAACTTTTAGAGCAAACCACAGTATAGATCAGAACAGGATCAAGGACTACATGCACTTGGTGCCTTGGGAGTTCAAATTTTTATCTTATGGCGATACTTTTTCTCTAACAGAGCAGAGGTACCATTAGCCTCCAGTTCTGCTTTAAAGTGATACTAAACTTAAAAACATTAGCAACAATAGACTGTGACCTGATGCACTTAGTGATGTGCCTCCATCCCTTAATATATCCATACAACCAATTTATTTGTCCTGGAACTTTAAATGAGGCACAACACACTTGGCCAATGAATAGTTAGTTTCCATATATATACTTAATATTTTACCTTGCAGATATTGTGCATCTACTCCTGAAGCAGTAAACTAAGAATCACGAAACACATTGAGTTTTTGGATGTAATTTTAATGTAATTATATATTGACATCTGGACTGTATATGGTCAATTGTATATCTAATTATGTATGAAATGCATTAATATGGACTTATTACAAATCAACTTGTTACCATTTTATCCTTTTTGTAAGCAATGACAAGTTTTAAAAATTAATGTTCCAAGCTAGTCATTTGTTGGTCGTGTGTGCTGTGCCTCATTTAAAGTTCAAGGACAAATAAATTGGTTGTATAAACTTAAAAATGTTTTTTACTTTAATGCATTCCTTACTCTCTGTCCTCCCCCTTCCCTGTGTGAAAGGGAAGTGAGGGGAGAACAGATCCAGCACTGCGCCCGGCTGCATCTCTTCTGGTTCCTGCTGCTGTCAGTCAAATTCAGTGAAGAGGAAGTGGGGGCAGAGCTAAGTCCCACTGTGGGTGTCAATGGAGCGCAGCTCTGTAGACACACAGCTTGGGATAGAGCAGACATCGTCTGCCCCATACCAAATGGCTTGCTATGGAGACACAAAGAAGGGGAAGAGCCAAGATCGCCAGCAGGGGAACCCAGAGAAGGAGAATCAGGGTTGCTTTGTGGAATACCACTGCACAGAGCAGGTGAGTATAACATGTTTGTTATTTTAAGTAAAAAAAAAAGACTTTAGTAACATTTTAAGCCCTGAAACTGGCAAAAAAGTACAGTGAAACTAAAAAAAAATGAAATGAGAGCATTAGCCTGAACTTTTAGTTCTTTATTGGTTCTTTAATTTTAATACTTTTTCCTTGAAATAAACCTAATGATAGCATGATACTGGACTTTCATTTCTTGTTGGTTCTTTCATTATTATAGTTGTTATTTAAAATAAACCTGACGTCAAACATTGACTTTAGGTTGGTTGATTTTCCTTGCAGCTAATGTTTTTTGCGGTCTTTTATAAAACCTCAGCCACAGGAAAGATTCAATTTCAACTTCGTGAAGGTGGAGCTGGAGGATGTGGTTGGCTTGAAACTTTTTATATTAATCTGATACAGATAATGGTAGAATACAGTTTACTGCAAAAGGCAAACAAGTGTTCTTTGTAAAAGCCGGATTTCTTTTTAATTGCTGAAGCGATAGGATTGGGTTGATTTGCTACAAGAGTAGTTCTTGAGGAAGTACACTGAGCTGTGCACATCTTCCCCATTGATGACTAGGGAGATAAAGGGGGTTACTGGGGCTGAGCTGAGCTTTTATGTAAAAAGTTGACATTTGCATGCATTTTCAGTTGCCTATACCTCTGGAGTTACTATTCTTTTCGATAGTCTTTGCCACTGCCTTATTCATTTTATCTTCATAGGTTCTGCTTGAATTGTTCATGTTTGTGACAAGTGCACTATTTTAAATGACCAATAAAATCACAAAGATGATCAAAAGGGAAAATGTATAAAGAAAGAGGCCAGGCCCAGGGAACACCCCCTGACCTTTTTAGCAATGTTTATGTCTCCATGTTTCTCTTTCAACCTTATTTCTGTTCCTTAGCGTCGTCTCCATACAAGAAGAACTCTGTCAATGTTCTTTGTAAGTATATATGTGGTAATATACACCTTTGCATGTGCACTGATCAGTCACAATGCATGTCAGTTTTGAGACATCAAGTACAGTAGCATGACAGCCAAATGTTGTGAATGCTGGTTTCTGTAGTCTTCTGACTTTTGTAACCATTTCTGCCTATTAAAAGACTAAACCAAAAGATGTCAGCAAATAGGACATAATGTACTTTGTAGATCAGTTACCTCTGTACAACCTAACACCATTGATATGCAGCTATATGCATCTAATATTGTCACAAAAGTTTGCCATAAATGTAATTTTTAACTATATATTGAATTTTGCCAATGTTGGTTTCTGTATGGTGTGGGAATGATCAACAGATTTGCTTTTGGTTGGGCAAGTTGTTTCTTTGCTGTCCAGTTTGTTTCATACCCCTGAGCCCCATAACTCACCAGTGTGGTTCTCCATGTATATTAAACCTTTTAAAGAGTAGAAACCTTTATGTAAGCATCATATAGAAGTGGTGACATTTTCTCCCCATATCTGCTTGTTCTCACTGGCCTTGCTTTGATCAGTGTCTTCTCTGTAATGCTGGTGAGAGTCATTGGAGTTCAGTAAATGAAACAGGATATTTCTACTGTAACAAGATAATGTTAAATATTTTCCAGTTTCCTAAATAATTGTAAGACTACAATCTATAGGGACAGCCAGATGGGGGTCGCAAATCTTTAATTGCATAGTTTATCCAGGCAGAAAGAGAAATGCAGCATATCTAAAGCCATGTTTTAGGTTTCCAAAAAAGCCACCAGCAGAGATACCTGTCCCCAGTTAGCATGGTGTAGAGAAGGACCCTTTCTCTTTATGTGGAAGCAGTGGTCCCTCTACAGAGGTTTGACGCGCCTCTTGTATAGTCAGACTTATAGCTCTGCTGTTAGGAGTGTCTAGCACTCCAGATCCATCACAGCTGCTGGTCTCATTCCAGCATTTTGGTTTTGGCTGTGATACATTCACGCTGCCTGTCCACCTGCAAGGTGATTGACATTCCCAGTCTCTGGGTGGAGACCAAACCTGATTTAAGCCAGCCAAGGCTGCAGTTTAATGCTTGTGATATTGTGTTTGTAAAATGTGCTGCAAGCTCCTTGTCTGTCTACCCTGCTTTGCTGTTTGGATTCCCTCGTTGACAACTTTGGATTTGATATCGACTACTCCTCAAACTCTGCCTGCTTTTTGACTAAGGATCTGACTGACTATCCTGAACCTTACCTGCCTTGTACCTGGACTGTCATTGCACCGCTCTGCCTGTCTGCCAGCCACAAGTACCTGATTTATTGCTCAGTTCATGTCCACTCAGCAGAAACTAACCTTAGGTCTTCACGTCAGGGTAAATGCACCACTGAGCAATACTGTTCTGATTTCCACTTTTGGTCACCTGACTCAGGGTGGAATGACCCTGCTCTAAAAAGCCAGTTCAGGTTAAGCTTATCAGACTTAGTCAATGACTCCTTAGTACACTACCCTGAACAAAAGTCGTTAAATGAAGCCATGCAAGTAAACATCTATGTAGACAGGCATTTATGGGAAAGGCATACTGAAAGGTTTGTTTCTTTGCCACCTAGTATGCTGCCCATTTCTTCTCCATCAGACCTTCCTGAACCCTCTCAACCTCTCCAGGATGAGGAGTCAAGCAAATTAGAGCTAACCATTTATCCACTGGGGAAAAGTCTAGAAGATCCCAGGGACTCTGCTTGTATTGTGGCAACCTCGGCCATTTTGTCAGCAGCTGCCCCAATAAGCCGGGAACTGTCAAGAGTCTAGTGCGGGTGTGGTCTGCTTCTCTAGACCATACGGTGCCAGGTCCCCCCCCCCCCCCCCCCCCCAGACAAACTATTTGTTCCTGAGCAACTTCTGCCATGTTCTCTCTTCACCTCTCAGCTTTCATAGATTCTGGTGCTGCTAGCAATTTCATTGATAATGACCTACCACACAGTCTACAATTTCCCTTGACTAAGGTGCATAAACCATTTTCACTCTTAGCTGTTGATAACTCTCTCTTATCCATGGGCCTGGTCACCTTGTGCACTGTACCTACTACTCTGACCATGGGGACCCGTGTGCCTATTTGTAACTCTTTTGTGGCAAATACCAGTACTGCTTTTATATGACAAATTATGTGACACTGACAAATTTATTGAATCCTCTATAGACCACCTCTCCAGTCATTTGACATAGTCTGAATCTTTTCCTCCCAGAGGCCGAACTTACCCAATGTATTGCAGTCTGTGCTCATTCTAAGTCCTCAAAATTCAAACCCTCTGGAATACCCTTACCTTTGCCTACCCCTAAATGCTCTGGGGTCACACATCCAGGCTAACTTTTCCCCAAGGTCTGCCTTTACACCTGCCGATGCAGTTCAGTCTGCCTCCATACCTGCTGATGTGGTCCAGTCTGTTTTTTACACCTGCAGTCTAGTTTGCCTCTACATCGGTTATTTTGGTCCAACCCATGCCAATTGAGCCTCCTGCAGGTTCATATTGGGTGAAGAATACAGAAGGCAGCTGGCCGAATGGGGCAGCCTATCCAAAGGATAGATGGAACTTCTTCAAAAGGTTTGAGTAGATGTAGTTGCAGTAGGATGAGGCCAGGTTACTGATAATCCCAAATATGATAATTCGACCATTTCCTAAAGACACTCTGCATTCAGCCTATGTTCCAGCTATCCAGCTTTACTCCAGTGACACAGCCTGTCATTACTGTCTACTGTCCAATTTGGCTCCATAGACTTTCTGCCTGGTAACCAACCTGACCTCACTGATCCCCACCATTGCCCAGCCTGATGGCCCTATGCTAGATTCCCCTGATAGTCCAGTGTTCGATGTCCAGCCTGTTTTTAAGGGCCAGGGGGCCTCTCCTCAGGAGGAGGGGGGGTAATGTCAGGAGCATCTAGCGCAGCTGATCCATCACAGCTGTTGGTCTTATTCCAGCATTGTGGTTTTGGCTGGTTTTGGTGATACATTCACCCTGCAAGGTGATTGATGTTGCCAGTCTCTGGGTGGAGACCAAACCTGATTTAGGCCAGCCAAGTCTGCAGTCTCATGCTTGTGATATTGCATTTGTAAAAAATACTGCAAGCTCTTTGTCTGTCTGCCTTGCTCTGCTGTTTGGGTTCCCTTGTTGATGACCTTGGATGGGATATCTACTGCTCTCTGAACTCTGCCTGCCTTTTGACTACATATCTGACTCACATTATCCTGAACCTTGCCTGCCTTGTACCTGGACTGTCATTGAAGGACTCTGCCTGTCTGCCAAAGTACTTTGCTCAGTTCGTACCTCCCCCAGTGTGGTGGCTAGGCACTATAGCATTGTGTATAAGTCCTGGGGGCAACTTAGTACCAGTAGGCCTGCTTGCCTTATGGGAAAGGGGGCTGTTATAGGTGAAGAACACAGAAGCCAGCTATAGTGTCTGACCACCTGCGTTAGGGGAAGGTGTGACATCTGCAATCAGCAAAGCTCATACTCCTTTCTCTCATGTTCAGGTGGGCTTTCAAGTTTGAACTTTACATTAATGTCTGTCCTGGGGACTTTTGTTACCCATTTGAATAGAAATAGTGAATCCACATTGAGAATAAACCTAAAATGATTTTGCTTTAAGGCCCCACAGCTTACAGTGTCCCTGCTAGGAATCCAATTTGGTGTAGATAATTCTTCTGTCACATATTTTTCTGGAAAGACAGATTCCAAATTGCAATGCATACTGTACATTTCTGCAGTCTTACTGTTAATACTACTGCAACTATCCTGGATGCTGAGGGATCAGCAATACCAATGAGCACAGTGTGAATGAAGTTGTGGAGGCCAAAACTATCCTGGACCATCTGCATTTGTGCTAGAGAATAGGCAGTCTTCACCTATTTTTGCTTTGCTTGAAGAATTAATGGCAGACCCTGTTATGTGGAGTACCTCTCCCATCTGTTCTTTCCATATATGACTTCAGAGGCCTCAGGCTTTCCAGTGCCATTATTAGTAAGTATGCTGGGAATTTGCTTCCACCAATGCTGCAGAGTTTCATTCCTTAGAATACCTTTATTCTTAAACCAGTCGTTAACTATTGCATACATATACACTATATTGCCAAAAGTATTGGGACACCCCACCAAATCATTGGATTCAGGTGTTCCAGTCACCTCTATGGCCACATGTGTATAAAATAAAGCACTTAGGCATGCAGACTGCTTCTACAAACATTTGTGAAAGAATGGGCGGCTGCTCTCAGGAGCTCAAGCGTGGTACTATGATAGGTTGCCACCTATGCAATAAGTCCATCCGTGAAATTTGCTATTAAATATTCCACAGTCAACTGTTAGTGATATTATAACAAAGTGTAAGCAACTGGGAACAACTGCAAAAATGACAGAGCGTGGTCAGCACATGCTGAAGCACATAGTACGCAGAAGTCACAAATTGTCTACAGAGTCAATAGATAAAGACCTCCAAACTTTGTGTGACCTTCAGATTAGCACAACAGCGCGTAGAGAGCTTCATGGAATGGGTTTCCATGGCCGAACAGCTGCATCCAAACCTTACATCATCAAGTGCAATGCAAAGTGTCGGATGCAGTGGTGTAAAGCATGCCGCCACTGGGCTCTAAAGCAGTGGTGACGTGTTCACTGGAGTAACTAATCACACTTCTCTGTCTGCCAATCCGATGGATGTGTCTGGGTTTGGCAGTTGTCAGGAGAACAGTACTTATTTGACTGCTTTGTGTCTAGTGTAAAGTTTGGTGGAGGGGGGATTATGGTGTGGGATTGTTTTTTTAGGAGTTTGGCTTGACCCCTTAGTTCCAGTGAAGAGAACTTTTAGGGCGTCAGCATACCAAGACATTTTGGATAATTGCATGCTCCAACTTTGTGGGAACAGTTTGGGGATGGCCCCTTTCTGTTCCAATATGACTGCACAACAGTGCACAAAGCAAGGGCCATAAAGACATGGATGAGCGGGCTTGGGATGGAGGAACTTGACTGGCCTGCACAGAGTCCTGATCTCAACCCAACAGAACACCTTTGGGATGAATTAGAGCGGAGACTGTGAGCCATTCCGCCTTGTCCGACATCAAGTGCCTGACCTCACAAATGCGCTTCTGGAAGAATGGTCAAACGTTCCCATAGATACACTCCTAAACCTTGTAGACAGCCTTCCCAAAAGAGTTAAAGCTGTCATAGCTGCAAACGGTGGGCCAACTCAACATTGAACCCTACGGACTAAGACTGGGATGCTATTAAAATTCATGGGCATGGAAAGGCAGGCGTCCCAATACTTTTGGCGATATAGTGTATTCATAAATAATACCCATAAATCATATTAACTGAAAAAGTAACGGGATAGCATTGCAGAGCTAGGGAAATTGCCTGTTATGTTGCTGCTTTGTGCAGTCGGTGACACAAGCTTTAGATAGCATGACTGAGTGAGTATAAATTAAATTACAAGTATTTTTAATGTTTAGCCACAGACTAACATGAGTGTACTTCAAATTGCATGTGCATGTAAGGTAAATTTACTTATCATGTGTTTGTGTATTGCTTTTTGCATGAACTGTACTTTAAAAAAAAAACTAGCATCAAGTGTCTTCCAATTTTCTATTCTGCTGAGCTGCACAGACAACAGGGTTAGAGGAACTTACCTGTAAAAATAAAAATGTTCATTGAACATTGCAGCTAACGCACCTGCCACTGTACTGGTGTATCATATGGGGATATCATACCCAGTGCTGACCACAAGCCAATAGGACATGTTCCAATACCTTGGGGTATGCAGCCATGCAATGTTCGAGAGACAGTTTAATTAAGCCAGGATCTTGTGCCAAGTAAACAGTCTTTAGGGAAAAGAGCTCAGCATAATAGAACAGGGGGACAGAGAAGGGTTCTGTATGTGCTAGCTCTTGAAGTGAACCTGCACTTTGCCAGTAAAAACAGGGACAGGTTCCCTTTAATGTCCCACTCCCTAGTGACACATACTCATCTTATGTCACTCCTCGCAGCTTTATTTAACCACCAAGATCAAAGAAAGAAAGTCCTGTGTAAGTTCTGAATTTCTGCAGTTAGAGCTTACAAAGGACTGGAGGGAGTGATGGATCTGGAACAATCAACAAGCACCATCACTGTCATATGGAGTCATTTACTTCACTATACCTGAAAGTAACAGGCACTTATTTCACTTCATTAAAGCAAGCCTGTTGCTTTGTCCTGCATGAGTGAGTGAAGCAGAAGTCTGCTTTAAAGCTGCAGTGGTAATAGGAAAATGTTTATGTTGATTTCTGACATAAAATTTTGTATTCTTTTAGCCAATGAAAATGCATCAGGACTCTCTAGAAGAGCTTCAGGAAAAACAAGATGATGAACATGAGCCTGTGTATGAAGAAGTAGGAAATTTCCACAGCATACCACAGGCAGAACTAGACTGCATTTTGTCAACAGAGCGACTTCATTTGCCTCCCCCACTGGACCGGACCAAAAAACCTGTACTAAATCCCAATCCAGACCAGATAAAGACAACTCTATCTGCTCCAACAAAGTCCAGCTCCCCAGAGAGGTCTGACAAAGAGCACTGTAACAAGACTCAGTCTTTAGACCGAAACCTCTGTGTGGAAAATTTCAAGACTTTCCCAAGCGATAGCAATAAAACAGTCATGGCAGACAGAGGTGCCAGTCCTAGCATCACAAAATCATATTCTCTCGAAAGGCAGGTGGAGCCAAACCGAACTCAGCTAGGTACTACAAGAATACAGGGTGGGAAAAGCACACTTGATTTGAGCACATTACCACTGTTTTTTGAGCCAGCTGCCCCCTCAGACTCATCAAAGGTTCCTGTGTGGAAGAAGACCTCTCCTATTTCCATGAATATGCAAGAAAAGCTAGTACAGGAACTTAACACCATGCTTAATAAGAAAAATGATACTGGGTCAGGAGCAGGCCAGCAAGTGACGTGACCTAGTACATCCCCATCACATGAATTATCTTCAGTCTTGAACTGCAGCACGGCACTCTGTTGTATATTAATTTAAATACAGAACATGAGAACAAACAATGATAACTGTAACCATGAGCTAATATGGCACTATGAAATCATTGGCTTTTTGCTTTGATATGTCATAAATGTAATCTAAATATTCTTTGTACAAAATTATACATGGTCATCTTTAGATCAGTGCCAAGATTCAGCACATTGCTTACTCAATATCCATTGTATAAAGACCATGATGTTTTAAAATTGTTTAATTCTTGTGACTATTAAGTTATATATTTTATTAAGGATTTATGGTTATACCAGTTGGAAGGTTTATCTCAACCTGTTGTTTTTTAAGCTTATTTGAATTGTAGCAGGACATGAATTTGTTGGGAGCACACAAAAAGGTCAATCATGGCTTACAGTATATAATGGCACTTCAAAATCATACATGTTTGACATTAAAGGGTCTGTTTATCAGTGTTTACACCCAGGATTTACACAAATTTCACATCATTACACCCATCTTTCACATATGATTAATTTAGAAAAATGGGTGAATTTTGAGTGAAAGAATTGATAAATGGACCACTAAGACATTTCCACCAAAACAGTTTTAAAATGATCCAAGGGCTGGCTAAAGTCAGGTTGGCAGGCTAGAGTCAGGATGGCAGGCCAAATGTAATGAAACATGTTTGTGATGGAACCGTTTGACTTTTTTTTTTATTAAAACACTTTTAAAAATGCATTCCATTTATTTTTTAATTCTCTTTGAGTAGATGTTAAATGATTATGCTTGAAAACTAAGAACAAGAAAACCAAAAATGCTTTTTCTTTATTTGGAGGTATAAATTTGCTGGTTTATCACTGATTTGTAATGGTCACCATAGGATAATAATTTTGATAAGTTTTACATTTTTCATATTTATATCTTAATGTTATGAAAAAAATCTGTCTCAGAATGATGAGTTTGTAAAAATTATGCACTTTATTGAACTTTTAAGTTCAATATACAATAGTGAACATAAAACATAGTATGTATCTACATACACATATACGTGCCGCGCTCCATGATAAACTGAACAACTCAGTTGATCCTTGCTGTACCTCCTGAAATTCATTCTGTTGATGGTCCTGTTGGCACCAACTGTCTCAACAAAAGTCAGTTTTCTAGTGGCAGCTTGAGGAAGAAGAATGTGGAGCCATCTTGGTTTGTTTAAACTATGATCAGTTGAGCCCATTGTCTAGAGAATGGAGGTATCCTTGCCATTAGTTGCTCAGAACTGCTGCGTAAGATAAAACAATCTTACCAAGAGACTTCACAAGGATAAGGCACCATCTGTGGCTCTTTTTTACATGGTTCATTGAGAGGAGGAAAGATCATCTTAACCATCCCTAAAGAAACCTATTGAGGCTAAAGTGTGGAAGGAGGGAGGCCTCTGGTGGCAGAAATAAGGCAACCCATAATATGGATGGAAACACGCATATAAAGTAAAGATTCCCACCTTGTCCTGTGAGGACAAAAAAGTGTGTTTAGCCAGCTTGTCTGGCTGACAAGGAGGTGAGCGCACACCTATCCACAGAGCATGGGGAGTGTGGCACAATACACCTCACTTGTCACTGAAATTATTATAGAAGTATAAAGAGGACTGTTTATATAACCGGTTTAAATACTGGATGAACATTATTTTGATATGCACTATATGTTGCACTTGCTTGAAGCACATTTATTTTGTTCGCGTTATTGCTTGAATTTTCACTAGTATATGAGTTGTTCAGTTTATCATGGAGCGCGGCACGTATATGTGTATGTAGATACATACTATGTTTTTATGTTTTATGTTTTTGCACAGATAATGAGTATTGTGTAAAGTGCTGATGCACCATTAGCTATATATGATTCTAGTTATTTACTTATCACGTTAAGGGGAGTATCACATTTTGGCTCACGAGTATTATCAATCACATTTCAATATACAATAGTATATTGGGAAGTGTACACAATCAAACATACAGAACAACCCATCATGAATAGTCCGTCAGTAATTGATGCTTTGAAAAAAATGCCTCTAAATAGGATTTCCTAAGTATTTGCTGGAGTCAATTGACCACAGATACTTATCTCAGACAGACTTCAGTTTCTCCAGGTGTTGTCTTTTGGCGCTGAAGATGGGAGAAGGGTAGACGTAGTGTGTTCTAACATTGTATGTGTGTCATTACACAGGCACTGCAATGCACCCCCCCTAGTAAACTTTGCAATAAAAAAAATTAGTTCACATACATTGCAATACATGTTTAAGCTGGCACAACTGTGTATTTGCCTCACATTGGCACTGTATCCAATGTAGCATTTGCACTCTGCAGAGCAGAATAGAACTGGAAGGATTACTTTGATGCGGTTGGCCAGCTTAAACATGTATTGCAATGTATGTGAACTAAAAAATCCCTATTGTTTTATAGCAAAGTTTGCTAGAGGGGGTGTGTTGCAGCTCCTGTGTAATGACACACATACAATGTTAGAACACACTACTTCTACCCTATTTTTTATTGCAAAGTTTGCTAGAGAGGGTGCATTGCAGTATGCAGAGGGTTCATCCAGAATTTTTAGTATTACCATGTGGTCACACCCCATTAGCACCTGCTAGATTAAATACGTGTAGAAGCTATTAGGATTTAAACCACAGATATATCTTTTTTTTTTTTTTTATTACCCAGCCGCCAATGCTTCTAGGGTGGTGGATGCACCAGTGTGATGATGTCACTTCTGGAAGGAATGGAAGGACACAGAATAGAGGGCTGATAACGCTGCTGCAAATTCAGCAAACATTTAATTTTGCTACTGGTCCTCCACAGGTAATGAAAGCTTCCTAGCAGCACGGCTAGATACACTGTTAACTTGTGGGCGGGGAGTATAAGGGAAGAATAAAAAAAAACCAAAACATATTCTGATATACAGGTGAAACTCGAAAAATTAGAATATCATGCAAAAGTTCATTTATTTCAGTAATGTAACTTAAAAGGTGAAACTAATATATGAGATAGACTCATTACATGCAAAGCAAGATAGTTCAAGCCGTGATTTGTTATAATTGTGATGATTATGGGCTTACAGCTCATGAAAACCCCAAATCCACAATCTCAGAAAATTAGAATATTGTGAGGTGCAATATTCTAGGCTCAAAGTGTCCCACTCTAATCAGCTCATTAAGCCATAACACCTGCAAAGGGTTCCTGAGCCTTTTAAATGGTCTCTCAGTCTGGTTCAGTAGGAATCACAATCATGGGAAAGACTGCTGACCTGACAGTTGTGCAGAAAACCATCATTGACACCCTCCATAAGGAGTGAAAGCCTCAAAAGGTAATTGCAAAGAAGTTGGATGTTCCCAAAGTGCTGTATCAAAGCACATTAATAGAAAGTTATGTTGGAAGGGAAAAGTGTGGAAGAAAAAAGTGCACACCGCAGCCTGGGGAGGATTGTCAGGAAAAGGCCATCCTGAAAAACAAACAACGTCATAAGCGTCTTACCTGGGCTGAAGAAAAAACAGACCTGGTCTGTTTGCTCAGTGGTCCAAAGTCCTCTTTTTCTGATGAGAGCAACTTTTGCATCTCATTTGGAAACCAAGGACCCAGAGTATGGAGGAAGAATGGAGAGGCACACACTGCAAGATGCTTGAAGTCCAGTGTGAAGTTTCCACAGTCGTGTTGATTTGGGGAGCCATGTCATCTGCTGGTGTTGGTCCACTGTGTTTCAGTAAGTCCAGTGTCAACGCAGCCATCTACCAGGAGATTTTGGAGCACTTCATGCTTCCTTCCGCAGACAAGCTTTATGGGGATGCTGACTTCATTTTCCAGCAGGATTTGGCACCTGCCCACACTGCCAAAAGCACCATAACCTGGTTCAATGACCGTGGGATTACTGTGCTTGATTGACCAGCAAACTCGCCTGACCTGAACCCCATAGAGAATTTATGGGGCATTGCCAAGAGAAAGATGAGAGACATGAGACCGAACAATGCAGAAGAGCTGAAGGCCGCTATTTGAAGCATCCTGGTCTTCCATAACACCTCAGCAGTGCCACAGGCTGATAGCTTCCATGCCCACGCTGCATTGAGGCAGTAATTGCTGCAAAAGGGGCCCAAACCAAGTACTGAGTACATATGCATGCTTATACTTTTCAGAGGTCCGATATTGTTCTATGTACAATCCTTGTTTTATTGATTGCATGTAATATATTCTAATTTTCTGAGAATGTGGATTTGGGGTTTCATGAGCTGTAAGCCATAATCATCACAATTATGACAAATCACGGCTTGAACTATTTTGCTTTGCATGTAATGAGTCTATCTCATATATTTGTTTCACCTTTTAAGTTACATTACTGAAATAAATGAACTTTTGCACGATATTCTAATTTTTCGAGTTTCACCTGTATGTTATACTTAAAGCATGATGTGTATTTAGGAACTGTTTTTTATATAAATTCCTGTAAATAATTTTTCAGAGCCGAATTTTATTAGCTTTGGATAGTAAGGAAGATTACTTTTTCTATAGAATTTTTAGTTTTTATCTGTGACTTGACTTGGAGACTTTCTCATTGCTAACTGCTTCTGTTACCCATGTGAGAAAAGGAGGGCATGGGCTTCACTAGGACAGGAAGCCACAAACAGCAAAAAAACAGTGTCAGAAGCTTTAACCCTTCCCTATGCTGCTAATAATGTGGATTCACAATAGAACATAAAAAGTAATAAAAAGCCCAATAGCAGTTAAATACCTTCCCTGCCTATCCTAAACTAAATACAGAATTTTGGCTAGAGTTTTAGGCTTTAAATTATTTTATAATATTTTGGTGCATAAAAAAACAAAAAAAAAAAATAAAAAAAAAAATACCAAAAAAAAAAAATAAGTGGTTCCCAATACAAGCAAGAATAAAACACTTATCCTTTAAAAAAAAACTCAAAAAAAAGAAAGTGTAAAATATTAAAA